TCCGGCCCGCGGCAGCGGCAACTACCGCCCGCCACGCAGGGCCGGTGGGGTCTGCACCGTTCACACGAGGGCGGCAAGCAGGGAAAGAAGAAAGCGCAACAGGCCTTGGGAGTGAGAGAGGGACGTTAAGTTAGAAAGGAAAAAAACAAAATGCTCTGGGATAATATATCCTCGTGTCTGTGTTCCCAGACGGAGTGTGTATTTACGAGATGCTGGCAGCACGTCACCTGATTTACAGCCATTGGCACTGAGAAAAGGAAAGGGGGGGCAAGGGGAAGACCCACAGCTCTAACTTGTGTCTTTCATCCAGACTCCCGAACATGACAAGAACTTTATCCCTTTGCAATTTCATATTGCAGATTCCGTTACATGCTCACTCAAGTGGTATTTTCCCATTCCTCTCATATACCATTTATTGAAAAATAAATAAAAATCATTAATGTACTTCTTACACTGAAGTAGCAACGCATTTGAAACCCTTCGCATTCAGCCAGATAACAGCATTCATTGGATCTGCAGTTCTGCACTTGCACATTGCATCCCAGTGCCCGTTGTGAAGGTACTGGTGTAGCCAGCCCCGTGTGACGCATCTGCCCAGCAGAGCTCCCTCAACTTCAGAGATTTCTGCAAGATTCGCTCCAACATTATCAAAATCAGAGCCAGAAATTTTGTCTAAAAACAAATTGGGCTTTATGACTTTCACAGGGACAATTATTTCCAAAGGCTAAATGCGCACCACTTACCATACATTTTGCCTTCATCTGATAAGATGATTTTCCTCCTCCCACACGGTGGATAGATAGCTAGAGCCTCCTGAAAGCTCTGTTCAATGTCAGGGCTCCAGACACCTTCTGCGTCATTGTCAATAGGTTTATCTGCAGAATCACTCATTCTTTCAATATCTTCGGCAGGGCTCTCGCTGCCGCTCCAGCTGCTGGGCTCAATGGTGATGGCTGGGGTCTCCAAGCCTAAGCCTGGAGTCTTAAAGGAAATAAACCTACAAAACAAACAAACAACCCGAAAAGACATTAAAGACATGATGTAAACATCTCTGGCTATTTCTGACTCTAAATTAACTTAACAGCAGTTGACCAGTAATGACAATAATGCAACCATAGGAAGCACCCAGGAAAAATAAAAGATTATAACAGGTCTACTCCAGGCCAGCAGAGGTGTAAGGATAAGGTAGTCAGAATGGGACTTTCTCACTAATTTTCTGTGTGTTACTATATGAATGCATATAGCATCAAGTTATTATTCACAGAGAGTCACAGTGGGTCTTAATATTGGGGAAAGCTCTGCAACACGTGATTTCTCATCTGGCTTAAGACTGGCACCTTCAGAACAACAAGCCAGGTCCTCAGGTGGGGGATAAATCAACATATTTCCACTAACTGGAATGGAAATAAACCAATTTACACCATTAGTGACCACCAGAGCCTAAAACCACTTCAACCTAAAAACAAAAGCAAAAACTATTGTTCACATTCATCCAGATGTCAGTGGAGTAAATGGAATTACACTAGCGATGACACAGCTCAATGTGATTAACTGCAAAAGCCTGTAGTTTTTAGATCTTACCCAAATAAACAGCACAATCAGAATCTGAGATATACACAAACTGAAATCTTTAAAATGGTAATACCAAGGGGATTATGAAAAAATATATATTTTGTCTGTTTTAAAAGGTCTTTGTCACAGAACTATAACAGAACAAAAATTACAAGCTTCAAGTTGCTGAATCAATTTAATAAGAAATAATTTAATATAGCTGCACCTGCTCACACCACCAGAGCTACAGAGCTGTCAGCGTTCCTTTTATATTTTTGAGAGAAATACAACTCTGCTATAAAGATTTGCTCCAGGCCAAAAAGCTGCCATACCAGACCAAATTCATCTCTAGCATAATTCTTTGGGATGTCAATGAAATCACACCAGGAACAGATTTGGATCAACATGTCTAGGCAAAATGCAGTTTTATTTTGAGAAAAGAAGGAGTTCGGTGACTCTAACTGATCTAAATAGACGGGAGTGTTCAAACGTGCATACAAGAGTTACACTTAAAAATTCTGTTAGTGGACTAAACCCTCAGAACTCCTATATACTATCACCTACTTATTCTACGAGGTGAGAAGAGAGTAGGTTCTTTCCACAGTTCCTCCTCTGAACTCGGCCATCCCCAGAGATAACCCAGCCCTGACAGCTCAGTGTATCAGAGGCTGCGCGTGCCGTGTTAGGGGTACGTGTGGAGCACTTCCAGAAGCTTGCATCGCTACATGGGAGAGGAAGTCTCAAAAACTTTGTTTTCCTTACTTGCATGTTTCTTAATTTCACATTGCTCCTAACATTTCAGCACAGCTTAAAATGCTTGCGCCTGCTCACTGGTAATCTCAAGGCTAATCAAGTGTCTTGAACACCTTTTAATAACTGATAATGAGGCAGCAGATGGATTCAGAGGGCACCACATGCAAATTTTAAGTGCGTGAGAAGTCTGGCTAAATACACTGCTTACTGTAAGCCCAAGCACTCCAAAAGGTAATGCAATTTTTTACAAAGTCTCATCATAAAGAAGGAGATGTAAACAGTTGTAAAATACCAAAATACCTTTTTTTTTTCATAGTTTTCAGAAGGACGGTGGGCTTGATTCAGTCCTCACCAGATTTGAACCTTGTGCTCGAGATTTAACAAAAACATACCCACTACAATCCTGGGAAAGAACTAAAGGAAAATAATCATTTCCACTTAAGCCTTCAAATACATGGGGAATTTTAGGTAAACGAGAAGTGATTAAATGTTGACTGGGATAATTAGCAGGGTTTCGGTTTTACTGCCACGGTGCAGGCAGAAATGACTACTGGAGCTTTTATTGGTCTCACATGATGGAGATCAGAGCTGAGCATTTCAGCAGAGGACAGCACAGAGCGGTATTGTTTACGGGGTCAGTCCTTCAGAGGTGCCCCAGAGAGGAAACCATTCACCTCCCCGAGCCCAGGCACCTCTTTCTGCAACATACAGCTCAGCCATAGGGATCTTTCCAGCCCAGCCCAGCCCATGCTCTGCTTACAAAATGTGCCGGAGTCATAGCCCCAAGTCTTATTATCGACCTATAAAGCAACCCTTATTACAACATTAGGCTGAAATAATAATTACAATGCACATGAGGAAAACAGAGAAGCTCTAAAATAATTAATGTAACTTGGTATTCAAGTTGGATCTTGCCTTGTGTTTACTGGTGATTTTTCACTAATGTGCTATGCTATCTGCCTTCCTATTCCTTTCTACCTACTTGGATATCATTTTGAGGCAGTAGTAGCTGCCTCTAAAATGCAAGATAAGCATGCACTTTTTCCAAAACATCTGTGTGATAGGAGGGGAGAAACCTGCTAGGGAAAAAAAAAAAAACCAACAGAGGACCGGAGCAAAATAAATGTGCATATAAAAGAAAATACAACACTGGTATTACAAGCACTAAATGGCTTCCTCTTCTTTCAGGAATATAATGAGCTACTCAGTTAATCACTTCCAGCTCAGCTCTATGTATCAAAAGGCAATTCCACTTCGTCCTTAGCTTGAATTCTAAGGACCCAGCTGTGATGAAATATTTCAGAGCCGTTATGCCGGAGGTCGACGTGATTATCAAAAATACTACAAGCTGTCAATAGCTGAGCTGTGCTGCACATTTCTGATGGGCTATAAACCTCATCTGAAGTATCTGGACTTCCAGCCCAGTTTAAATTTAAAAAATGTCCTCCCTATATTTACAAACTTCAAATCTTAAAATATCAACTTGTGGTGGAGAAAGAGTTAAATTCTTGAAGCCAATTTAAAAAAAAAGGTGGTAGAGAAGATGCACTTGCACACATCAAGTTGTAGGGTTCCATAATAGCTGAATAGATGATTTACAGAACCAATTTCATCCCTGCACCCTGTGTTAATAAATATTAAAACTCAATACTGCTCAGAAAACACATAAAAACGGATTTTAGCCGACCTCTTTGTACCTTCTAGGATTGTTTAAAGCATGCTACTGCAGTTTAAGAGATCTCTTTAAAAGACCTTTCCTTTTAACACCAGCCTCTCCCTCTTACATATCTCAAGACACTTCTCTCTATGCATGTATTCTTTCATTTACAAACCGACCATATCTTTATTACAATTGCTTTCTATGCTCTCCTATTGAGTAAATATTTAGTGTAGTGGGTGTTCACATATATATCCATGAAGACCCCATGCACAACAGAGATATCCCTCCCTCAAACAACAGGATATTTTCCGTTTAGCAATGAAGAAACCATTAGGGGCAATACTGAGTTTTATAAATAAGTTTTATAGAGAACATTCATCCAACGCAGCTTAATGAGGTACAGAAAAAATTACTTATTTTCATTATGTTTCCTTGGTTAAGAAGTTACTTTAAAAACTTAGAAAAACAAGGATAGTTTTTGTCAGAGCTGATCAAAACCAATGAATTTAATCAAAACCAAATGGCAGCTTGGAACATCTTATCAAGAGAATTTTGTCTTTGTGTGAATAAAGCATTATCTTAGCTTTCGCTTTACAAGCGAGGCAAACCTGAACTTGCCCAGAAAGTTGCTGCTCACAGACCAACAACTGAGATCAATAGTCTTCACAGGCATGTAGGACAAGTGCAGATTTAAGGCCCAGATATGTTTCATATCCTTCCATAGTTGTATTATGAACTAACATGCAAATACTGTCTTTCAAGAGTCTTCAGATCTGAACCTTACAACATTCTGCAAAAGTTCAACTTCTTTTCTGTGTGTTTAAATAATCTGCTTTCTTGAATTTCAGTGTACAGGTGCTGAATGCTGCTTTCACTGGGGTATGTTTATATATAATATATATTTTACACATATAAAATATATAAACTAGAAAAGGTTTAATACTCTGCAGATACTGATACAGGGACACTGGAAAGATTAAAAACATACATTGTTTCTGAGAGATTTCTGCCAAAAAAAGGATCATTTCTGTCCAGTTTTCTGAATTCTGCCCTCTTGAAGGAGATCAAACTCAAATATTTTTGAGATAACTTGCAATGGCACCTTTAAGAATTTTCATGTTAGAAAGCAGCAGAGTAGCTATGCACTAGCAAATAATTACTGTAACTAGCTCAATATTCTTGGCATTAAAACGGATCTTTGAGAAAGTTCTTAATTCTTGAGGTAAAGGATTTTAAGAGTTGAAATGGTTAATTATGCTTTTTAGAATATGTCTTATTTTTAGTTTGTGAACAACTTCATCTTAACTACAATTCTGGAAAAACAATGGGACCAGGAATCCAACAAGCTTTTTATAAATATCAAGATAATAACGAGCAGATGAGTGAAAACCAACCAATTCTAAATTTGCAGATGGCAACTTTTTTCTCAAGATTTGAAAAGTTACAGGCCCATGGGATTTTCCTTCTGCTTTGTTCAGAGATGTAAATGCACAGCTGAAGCACCAACACTTCAGGAAAGAAGTCTTGGAGAGAATCCAGAGGAAGAAAGTTGTAAGATCTAGAAAACATGACGTACCAGGAAAGAAATTGTGTTTGTTTAGATTTAGAGAAGACTGATATGAGGTGATAATCAATTTCAAATAAGAAAAAGGTAACTGCAAAGAAGCAGAGAAGAAACTCTGCCATTTCTAAGAGAATAGAATAAGTAGTAAAGAATTTAGGTTGCACCAAGAAAAAATGTAGGTTAGGTATTTGGAAGAATGTTCTGTCCCTACTTAGAATGCGAATGGATTGGTCAGAGATGTCAGGGAACTGCACTGCTACCTGCGTGTGTGGAGCTCGTGACACAAACATCTTGGGAATGACATGCTCACACGTAGCCCTGTTTGAGGCAGGGGGATGGACTAGGGGGTGTCATGAAACTCAGCAGCCAAAGAGCAAAGAGAGCATAAAAGGCGCCTACGGAGGGAAAACCTGCAGTCGGAGCATACACTCCACCAGACATAGGATAATGCAGTTACCCAAGCATCCCA